AAAAAATGCATTTATAGAACCTCTGCCAATGGCCAGGTTCCATGCAGAATGCTTTGACACCATGGCTCAGCCAGGTCTCCCACAGGACTGCAAAACAGGGTGATATCTTCCTTTTACATTGGAGAAGACTGAGGACCAGAGAGGCTAAATAACTTGCCAAAGGGCACACAGCAAGTAAGTCATGGCACTGGGATTCAAACCAAATCCTCCAGACTTACAGTAACAGAAGAGCCGGTGTGTCCTGAGCATCTGTTGTGTGCTTAGGTGTGGTCCCTAGGTTTTTGTGGGGATTAACTCAACTCTCACAACAACCCTGTGAGATAGAAATGGTTATACCTGCATATCATGGAGGGGGAAACTGAGGCAGGGGGAGGCAGAGTGACTTGCCAAGGTCACAAGCAGTGTTTGGATCTGGCCACTGCGGTCACTGGCCTAACCTGTGCCCCAGGAGCTGCTGTATATGGCAGGGATTGCCGCAAAGATGTGCCTCCTACCTTCCTTTTGGAGGTGGCAGAGCCCTCAGGTCGCATGGGGCAGGACCAGGCCAGGTGGAAGCTGGGCACAGGGAGGCGGGCTTCCGCGCGAAGCCCTTTCATGCAGATGAACCAACTCCTGGAGAGGTAGTGTGGGTCCACCCTGAGGTGTACCAGGGCTGGGGGCCATAATGGGCCACTTCCTGCCCAGAATTGGAGACTGGAGGTTGTGCCTGGCAGCCTCCAAAATGCCCCTCATGGACATTCCAGGGATGCCCTGAGTGCCCACTGGGTGTTCGGCCTGCCCACTGCTAGACACGTGACAGCTGGCCCCTTCTCCCAGTTGGAGGAATTGAGTGCCCAGTGACTGTTCCCCAGCTGAAGACACCAGAGATCAGGTGTTGAGGGGAAGGCAGAGAAGGGGCCAGAGGGTGGTGGACAGGGGAAGTGGCTGTTAAGACATAAGCCGTCTGAACCACGGAGGAGGGTGGCAGGGGCAGGGTGAGGCCAGCCAAGGGCACCCTGGGGGCTGAGCTAGGACCCTGGCCAGCGCAGGCAAGCTCAGGACCACGGAGAGCTCCACAGGAGCTGCCCATCACCAAGTGACAGCTGTCAGTGTGAGTCTGCGCCTGGGAGGCTGCTACCTGCCTGACCAGCTCCCACCGTCACAGCCAGGGGCCTCCGGGGAGCACCTCCCTTCTCCCTGGCCAGAAGCCCCTGGCTGGGCTCCACCTGAGTCCTATGAAGTCATGGCTGGGTCATGGAGTTTGGGCTCATCAGCTTCCCTCCCTCACAGCCCGTCAGGCTTCCAAGCAGAGCCAGAGAAAAATGGCACAAGAAGTGGAAGAGGGAGGGAAGGAAGGAAATCTGTCCAGCTCAGACCCTCCGGGCTATGGCCACTGCCTGAGGCGTTCCTGCTGCCATCCTGGGTCAGCCTCGGCCTCCCTCTTCCAGGATCACCTGGCTGCCAGGAAGCACCTGGCCCATGCTCTACCACCTATCCCAACAGACCCAGGCCTGGCCAGAGGCAGTGGCCCACACCTGCAGTCCAACACTGGGGGGCCGAGGTAGGAGCATCACTTGAGCCCATGAGGTCGAGACCAGCCTGGTAATGTAGGGAGACCTCATCTCTACAAAAAAATGTTTAAAAAATCAGCCGAGTGGTGGCGCACACCTGTGGTCCCAGCTACTTAGGAGGCTGAGGTGGGAGGATCACTTGAACCCAGGAGTTTGAGGCTGCAGTGAGCCTTGACCATGCCACTGTACTCCAGCCTGCCTGGGTGACAGAATGAGACAAGACCCTGTCTTAAAAAAAAATTTAAAAGGCACAGGCCCCTGGAGCTGGGTGCAACTCACAGGGTGTCTGGCAGCGGGATGGGGGTGGAGCCTCAAGCCCCCCTTTTCTTGGAGTCTCAGGAGGCGTGGCTTCCCAGCCCGTGGCCCCTCCTCACAGCAGGTTTAGGTTTTGCTCCCTGGTGCCCTGAGATAGGACACCACCTGCCAAGGCTGAGGCCCTGCCAGGGACTCACGTCCAAGCCTCTACTTCTGGTGTGCCCCCACCCAAAGGCTCACTGTCTCTTCTCTGCCAGGCTGGGGAATAATAATAGGGAGAAGAGTTATCACTTATCATTGAGTGCTTACTATGTGCTAAGCATCTCATCGATGAGGAAACAGAGGTACAGAAAAGTGGTTAACCTGCACAAGGCCACACAGATAGGAGTGGCAGAGCTGGGATTTGAACTGGGGAGTCCAAGCACATAGAAGTGATGGTGAGGGCATTGTGGAGGCCCAGGGCAGTGCGGGGTGGTCTCATTGAGCACCTGCTGTGTACATTCCCTGCTGCAGGGAGCTTGTGTGCCAGCTGGGAAGACAGACATAGGGGGAAATGAGCCTCGTGTTGACGGGCTGGGGCTGTGGACAGGTCTCTCTGATTCTCACTTGAAATAAGCAGGGCTGAGATAATGATACCCATTTTATAGATGGAGGAGTTGAGGCTGAGACAGGTCAGGTGATCTGCTCTGTTCATAGTGACTATAGGAACGTCGACGATGCTGAGGAGCAGGGGGGAGGTTGGGAGAGTTCGAGATGGGCTCTGGCTTGGGCAGAGGCAGGTGCTTTGCTTCCAGGGAGGCTGATCTTGGCACAGAGCAGGCATCTAAGAAATACTAGGTGAATTTTAACGAACTGAGTAAGGGCCAGAGTATGGCATCTGCGCTATCAGAGATTAGCCTTGGCAGTGGGAAGGAGCTGGAGAGGGGTTTTGTCCTCAGAGAGCTGCCTGCCTGGGTCACAGAGGGCAATGACCCGGCCCAGGGGAGGCCCCAAGCCCTCACTCGGCTAATCTTATTCTCCAGGCAGGTCCTGACCACAGTGAGCCTCCTGGCTTCCTGAGCTGCTGGAGAACCTCAAGCCATGTACATCCAGGGAAGTGGGCGGGAGCGGAACAGTGGGCTGGACGATGTCCCCCGTACTGCTTTGAGGCCACAGGGGGACCACAGACATAAAGCATCTCCCACCCTGCCCATCTCTCAGGTGAAGCTTCTAGACAGCATGCTGCAGAAAGGACCTGAGGTTTAGATCTAGAGATGAAGGTTAGCCCAGGACCTGCTGCTAGCCACTGTTTGACCTTGGCCATGTCCTTCACGCCCAACCTCACTGTTGGTGTCTGCAGGAGAAGTAGTGGTTAGGGCAAGGCCCTGCAGAGACAGATGCTGGCTGCAAGCCCCAGGTCTGCCGGATAGGGCCGGCCTCCTCCACCCCAGTCAAGGGCTGGTCTGTTTTTCCAGTGCCTGGGGCCACCCAGCGTGCTGCCTTGCTCACATCTAGCTCTTCAGCAGATCCAGCAGCCTCTGAGCACACTCTACACCCTCCACCCTGGTGGAAGCCACCCTGACTCGCCTGGGCAGTTCCCTGTGGCCTCCTGGCTTCCCCTGCCCTGCCCTTGAAGTGCCCATCCATTCTCAGCAGAGCAGCCAAAGTGAGCCATTCACACCAAGGTCAGGCCATGGCCTCCCTTCTCTGAATCCTCCAGTGAAAGCCACATTTCCAACCGTGGCTCCAGGCCCTGTGTGATCTGGGTTCGCTCCCTTCCCCCCATGTCCCCTTGCTTGCTCCGTCCCACCGCCTTGCTGTTCTTCACTCGTGCACACACACTCCTGCCAGGGCACCGGTTGTGTCTTCCGCCTGGAACATTCTTCCGTGGCGCCCTCTCCCGCATGGAGTCTCTGCTCATGTCACCTCCTCGGTGAGCCTGCCCTGCCCGCCCCATTCATTGCTGGACATACGACGCACTCGCTCCTGCCCGTTACGCGCTTTGTCTTTTTCCAGAGCACAGCCTCTTTGGGCGCGCAGTTTTCCGACCTGACTCGTGTGTTTGCGGTTTAGGCAGCCTCCCTACACTGCTGGGTGCTGAACAGGCTCCCTGAGGGCAGGGATTTTGGTCCGTCCTGTCTCCCCATGTTCCCAGTGCTCACCGAGGTGCCTGGCACACGGGGCTCTTGCAAAATTGTTGCTGAGTGAATGAGTGACATGGGTTGGGTGAGCACCCTGTGGCATGTTGTATGGATCAGATGCCACAGGGGCTGCACCATCCACTGGGTTGTCTTCACTGGTCATAGGTGGACTCCTCAGGGGCCCTGTCACCCTACTTGGATCGAACTTGGCAGCTGGAAGGGGCTCAGGACAGCTTTAGCCCTGGACACAACCCCGTGATTGACCCTACAGGGTCCAGTATGATCCTTCTATTGTGCAATGCTGTGCAAGTGACATCATCTCCACGGCCTCGGTTTCCTTATAGAAGGGGACCTGTTTCATGTTGGGAGGATTCAGTGCAGTCACGCATAACATGCTTAGGACAGTGTCTGGCATGTGAGCCTCAGTGACAGTTTTATTGTTACACCTGATGGTGTGTCAATGCTTTATTGTTTTTGCTTTTGAGATAAGAGTCTCACTACCGTGCCCAGGCTGGAGTACAGTATTGCGATCTCAGCTCACTGCAGCCTTGACCTGCAGGGCTCAAGCAGTCTTCCCACCTCAGCTTCCCAAGTAGCTAGAACTACAGGCACGTGCCACCACGCCCTGCTAATTTTTGTTTTGTTTTGTTTTGTATAGACGGGGTTTAGCCATGTTGCCCAGGCTGGTCTTAAACTCCTGGACTCAAGCAATCTGCCCACCTTGGCCTCCCAAAGTGCAGGGATTACAGGGGCATGAGCCACTGTGCCCAGCCTTGATGAAGCTTTGTAATGGAAGCTGAGATGCCACCAACTGGGGCCCAGTTTGGTTCCATGGCTTTAGCCCACAGCTGGGCCACCTGCACTACAGAGGGATCTGGTGGTCTCAGCTGTCATGAGGGAGAGAGGCGCTGGCTTGAGAACCAGAACTATGTTCAAGTCCTGACTCGGCCACCTCCTTAATTGTCCTTTTGGGAAAATCTTGCCATCTTTCTGAGTCTCGTTTTCTCCATCTGTTAAAACAGGGCAGTTTAAATGAAGTACCAGAGTGGTTGAGAGATTTAAATGAGACCCTGAGTGCCAGTGCTTATTTGTTCCATTTTATTTATATGCTGTCTCAATAAAAAAACGAAAAGACAAAAAGGAATTGAGCTGAAAAGGATTGAAACTGTGCGGGCAGCTGCAAGTGAAGGAGTCCAAGAAAATGCTGTCTGTGAGGCACTGTTGACATGCTCGGGGCTAACCACTGTGTGCTTCTGAGGCTGTGTGCTTCTGAGCCTCCTAGCAGCCTGAGTGATGAGGGAAACATGCTCAGATCCTTGATTCTCAGCAGCAAGCCAGACTAAGGCCTTATTAAGGGGCCCTGCCCTGAAGGCTCCAGTGACTCAGAGGGGAGCTCCTAAGCACTGGTGAGTCCGTGCTCAGAAGGGCACAGCTGGCTGCGAGTAACTAGATCCTGAAAGCCAGCCAAGGGGCAGCTGGGTCAATCTGACCTTAGCAGGTCCATGGAAGCCCTTTACGCCAAGCAAGCTGTTTCCTTGCCTCTCTGAGTTCCTCTTACCTTGCTTTGCTAAAGCCTTTGTTCGTGCTGCCAGGGGATTTAGAGTCTGAATGGCAGCCCCAGGCCATGCCCTCCCCATAGCTTACACCAGTTGTGTAACTTGGAATGTCCCCCACAGAGGCAGGTCCCAAGTAGAGAACAATGGCCCACTAAGGCCAGGCACAGTGGCTCACCTGTAATCCCAGCAGGCAGATCACCTGAGGTCAGGAGTTCAAAACCAGCCTAACCAACATGGTGAAACCCCACCTCTACTAAAAATACAAAGTTAGCCAGTGTGGTGGCGCATGTCTGTAATCCCAGCTACTCAGGAGGCTGAGGCAGGAGAATTGCTTGAGGCAGAGGTTGTGGTGAGCCGAGATTGCACCATTGCGCTCCAGCCTGGGCAACAAGAGCAAAACTCCGTCTCAAAAAAAGAAAAATAGCCCACCAGAAGGATCCAGGCTGCCTTTCCAAGTCCTGAAACCCCATGAGTAGTTTGCTCTGGAAGTTTCCGCCATGCTAACCCTGGCTGCAGTATTGCCTTGTGTCTGGTCCTGGCTGCAGCAGGAACTCCTAGCCCCTTTTGCTCACCCTGCTGGTCCAGCCCAACTGGTCTCACTTTGCCAGACAAGGGCTGGAATCCAAAATGGAGAATGAAGTGCAGAAGACCCATTTCAAAATGTTATCAAGGGGCAGCCCCTCCTTCCAAACGCCAGTGGAGAACAGCCCCAGCTCCGCCCTGGGACATCTACCATTTAGCAGAGGTCAGGCCCCTATCCCAGATTGTTCTACCTGCCTGCAGTCAGCTGTGCCCACTCCGTGTGGGCAGCTCCAGGGGGCAGGTGTTTACTAGAGGAGGGATATCTGAGCTCGAATGGGGCAAGCACTGCCCTGTCAGGATCAACAGCTTGACTGCTTCTTACCAGCCTTCTCAGGACTTCTCGCCAAGCTGAGGCCATGAGGGGCACCTGGTGCAGAGCCCAGCTGCCTGGTTCACACTCCAGCTCTGTTGTGACTTTGGGCAGGTCCCTGAAGGCCCCTAAGTCCTGGTTTCCTCCTCTATAAAATAAAAGAGTTGGAGGAGATGGTCCTTAAAATTTCCAGATCAATCGTGTTATGATTCTGTGCCTTATGACCATGTGGCTTAGAGAAAATTACATTGGGGGCATCTAGCCTTGAGCATTGAAAGGAACAAGAGCTTATGGAGCACATGCTGCATGCCAGGAACTCTGTGCCCATTTCACAGATGGAGAAACTAAGGTTCAGAATGATGAGGAGTCTTGATTTTTTTTTTTTTTTTTTTTTGAGACGGAGTCTCGCTCTTTTGCTCTGTCACCCAGGCTGGAGTGCAATGGTGCGATCTCGGTTCACTGCAACCTCCACCTCCTGGGTTCAAGCGATTCTCGTGCCTCAGCTTCCCGAGTAGCTGGGATTACAGGTGCCCACCACCATGCCCGGCTAATTTTTGTATTTTTAGTAGTGACGGTTGGCCTCACCATATTGGCCAGGCTGGTCTCCAACTCCTGACCTCAGGTGATCCACCTGCCTCGGCTTCCCAAAGTGCTGGGATTACAGGTGTGAGCCACCGTGCCTAACCCAAGTGCCTATCTTTCCACCCTACCTTGCTGTCCTCAGAGTTAAAAAGTAGGGAGGCTGGCCACGGTGGTTCATGCCTGTAATCCCGGCACTTTCAAAAGCTGAGGCGGGCAGATCACTTGAGGTCAGGAATTCAAGACCAGCCTGGCCAATGTGGTGAAACCACATCTCTACTAAAAATATAAAAATTAGCGGGGCATGGTGGTGCATGCCTGTGATTCCAGCTACTTGGGAGGCTGAGGCAAGAGAATTGCTTGAACCTGAGAGGTGGAAGTTGCAGTGAGCCGGGATCTCACCACTGCACTCCAGCCTGGGTGACAGAACGAGACACCATCTCAAAAAAAAAGTGAGGGGGAGAGCATGACCCAGAGAAAGAATCAAAAATAAAGAGAAGCCACAGGTGGGAACATTTTAAGAATATCTAGGTGGGACAGTGCCAGATGCCAAAGGCAAGGTTTCTGTCTCAGCCTTTTCTGTGACTCACTGGGTCCCCCCGGACAGGTCACTGGTCCCACTTGGCCCCACCCAGCATTTTCACTGGTCAAATGAATGTAAACTCCTGGCCTGCCTGCCCACCTGTCTAGACTCAAGGGTGAAATGAGCTGGATGGCTGCAGTCAGAGGTGCTCTGTGGCTGCACGGCTCATTCATAAAACGAGGCATCCAAATCCAGTGTGGGGTTTGGCTAATGGTGACATTCCAATGTCCGTTTCCTAGTTGTGACAAATGTCCCATGGTGGTGTCAGCTGGGAGCAATAGGGTGAAGTGCGTGAGGAAGCCTCTGTGCTGTCGTCTTTGCACCTTTTCTGATAATCAACAAATATTCTAAAATTAAAAGTCTATTTAGGCCAGGCACAGTGGCTCACACCTGTAATCTCAGCACTTTAGGAGGCCGAGATGGGCGGATCACCTGAGGTCAGGAGTTCGAGACCTGCCTAGCCAACATGGCGAAACCCCATCTCTACTAAAAATATAAAAATTAACTCGGTGTGTTGGCGTGTGCCTGTAATCCCAGCTACTTGGGAGGCTGAGGCGGGAGAATTCCTTGATCCTGGTAGGCAGAGGTTGCAGTGAGCAGAGATCGCACCACTGCATTTCAGCCTGGGCGACAGAGCAAGACTCTGTCTTAAAAAAAAAAAAAAAAAGGCCGGGTGCGGTGGCTCACGCCTGTAATCCCAGCACTTTGGGAGGCCAAGGCGGGTGGATCACGAGGTCAGGAGATCGAGACCACCCTGGCTAACACAGTGAAACCCCATCTCTACTAAAAATACAAAAAATTAGCCAGGCGTAGTGGCGGGCGCCTGTAGTCCCAGCTACTCGGGAGGCTGAGGCAGGAGAATGGCATGAACCCAGGAGGCGGAGCTTGCAGTAAGCCCAGATCACACCACTGCACTGCAGCCTGGGCGACAGCGAGACTCTGTCTCAAAAAAAAAAAAACTTATTTAAATTGGAGAATAAGAATATACAAGCATCTCCATCCCACAACCATAAACGAATTGATAAATCAAACTGTATAAATGTATAGCAAATGATTATATCATGAGTCATGATACAGAGTGATTTATTCACAATAGCCAGGTAATATGTGGGATTTAAAAGGAACTGGTACATTTATTTCTACTGATACCAAAATCTTTTAAATCTATCATTGATTGAGGAAAACAGCTTCGTTAGACTTAGTGTCCTGTATGGTAATGTTTGTGAAAAATATTAAACCCAGAATAGAAAAATTGCATAGAAAGCCAGAGATAGACCTCAAAATTTTTTTATTTTTTTAATTTTTTTAGGTGGAGTCTTGCTCTCGTTGCCCAGGCTGGAGTGCAATGGTGCAATATTGGCTTACTGCAACTTCCACCTCCTGAGTTCATGTAATTCTCCTGCCTCAGCCTACCGAATAGCTGGGATTACAGACATGCACCACTACAGCCAACTAATTTTTGTATTTTTAGTAGAGACGGAGTTTCACCATGTTGGCCAGGCTGGTCTCAAACTCCTGACCTTGTGATCCACCGACCTCGGCCTCCCAAAGTGCTGGGATTATAGGCATTAACTACTGCACTGGCCGACCTCAAATTTTTATGCCTGGAGATTAGTAAAGGGCATGGGATAATGAAGGGGAACTTTTATTTTATTTTTGAGACGGTGGCTCAGTCTGTTGTCCAGGCTGGGGTGCAGTGGTGCAATCATGGCTCACTGCAGCCTCAACCTCAAAGTCTTTTTTTTTTTTTTTTTTTTTTTTTGAGACGGAGTCTCGCTCTGTCACCCAGGCTGGAGTGCAGTGGCCGGATCTCAGCTCACTGCAAGCTCCGCCTCCCAGGTTCACGCCATTCTCCTGCCTCAGCCTCCCGAGTAGCTGGGACTACAGGCGCCTGCCACCTCGCCGGCTAAGTTTTTGTATTTTTAGTAGAGACGGGGTTTCACTGTGTTAGCCAGGATGGTCTCGATCTCCTGACCTCGTGATCCGCCCGTCTCGGCCTCCCAAAGTGCTGGGATTACAGGCTTGAGCCACCGCGCCCGGCCAACCTCGAAGTCTTAAGTGATCTTCCCACCTCAGCCCCCTGAGTAGCTAGAACCACAGGCACATGGCACCACACCTGGCTAATTTTTAAATTTTCTGTAGAGATGGGGTCTCACTGTGTTGTCCAAGCTGGTCTCAAACTCCTGGGCTCAAGCGATCCTCCTGCCTCAGCCTCGGAAGGTGTTAGGATTACAGACGTGAGCCACCATGCCTGGCCTAATTTTATTCCTTAAATATGTTAGAATAAGTGTTTTCCCTTGAGAGCTGTGAGTTTTTTCAGTGAAAAAGTATTCAAAAGGTTTGTCAGTATGTCCATAAAAACGAAGATAGGAGAGGAGGGACAGGACCCGGGAGGGCAACCTGCAGCCTGCTCTCGCTGTCCTTTCCTCCGGCAGTGTCTGCACTGCGGGTTGAGCTTTTCCCAGGGCGCATTTTGCTCCTGGAGCCAAGTCTAGCAGAGCAGCCATACAGTCAGGGTGGGGTGGGCCAGGCGGAGGAGCAGGCTGCAAAGGGGACACGGTGGTGGCCTGGGGGTCTCAGGGAAGGGCTGTGGGAGCACAGGGGTGTCCTCAGTGCTAGAGCTTTCAGGGGCCTTGGTACCGCGAGCTGTCTCTTGGGGGCAGAAGGTCACTCCATGCAGGGGCAGCAGGTGCTGGCCACCACATTCTCCAGCAAGGTGACAGCAGAGGCCTCCTAGGGTCCCCTTCCTAGGAAAGGAGCCTGGGCTGCCCTGATGGGTCTGCTGTCTCTCTCTCCCACAGGATGAAAATGAGACGCTACAAGCTCTTTCTCATGTTCTGTATGGCCGGCCTGTGCCTCATCTCCTTCCTGCACTTCTTCAAGACCCTGTCCTATGTCACCTTCCCCCGAGAACTGGCCTCCCTCAGCCCTAACCTGGTGTCCAGCTTCTTCTGGAACAATGCGCCGGTCACGCCCCAGGCCAGCCCCGAGCCAGGAGACCCCGACCTGCTGCGCACCCCGCTCTACTCGCACTCGCCCCTGCTGCAGCCGCTACCGCCCAGCAAGGCGGCGGAGGAGCTCCACCGGGTGGACTTCGTGCTGCCCGAGGACACCACCGAGTATTTCGTGCGCACCAAGGCTGGCGGCGTCTGCTTCAAACCCGGCACCAAGATGCTGGAGAGGCCGCCCCCAGGACGGCCGGAGGAGAAGCCCGAGGGGGCCAACGGCTCCTCGGCCCGGCGCCCACCCCGGTACCTGCTGAGCGCCCGGGAGCGCACGGGCGGCCGGGGCGCGCGGCGCAAGTGGGTGGAGTGCGTGTGCCTGCCCGGCTGGCATGGACCCAGCTGCGGTGTGCCCACCGTGGTGCAGTACTCCAACCTGCCCACCAAGGAGCGGCTGGTGCCCAGGGAGGTGCCGCGCCGCGTCATCAATGCCATCAACGTCAACCACGAGTTCGACCTGCTGGACGTGCGCTTCCACGAGCTGGGTGACGTGGTGGACGCCTTCGTGGTGTGTGAGTCCAACTTCACAGCTTACGGGGAGCCGCGGCCACTTAAGTTCCGGGAGATGCTGACCAACGGCACCTTCGAGTACATCCGCCACAAGGTGCTCTATGTCTTCCTGGACCACTTCCCGCCCGGCGGCCGGCAGGACGGCTGGATCGCCGACGACTACCTGCGCACCTTCCTCACCCAGGACGGCGTCTCGCGGCTGCGCAACCTGCGGCCCGACGACGTCTTCATCATTGACGACGCGGACGAGATCCCGGCCCGGGACGGCGTCCTCTTCCTCAAGCTCTACGACGGCTGGACCGAGCCCTTCGCCTTCCACATGCGCAAGTCACTCTACGGCTTTTTCTGGAAGCAGCCGGGCACCCTGGAGGTGGTGTCGGGCTGCACGGTGGACATGCTGCAGGCAGTGTACGGGCTGGACGGCATCCGCCTGCGCCGCCGCCAGTACTACACCATGCCCAACTTCAGGCAGTACGAGAACCGCACCGGCCACATCCTGGTGCAGTGGTCGCTGGGCAGCCCCCTGCACTTCGCCGGCTGGCACTGCTCCTGGTGCTTCACGCCCGAGGGCATCTACTTCAAGCTCGTGTCTGCCCAGAATGGTGACTTCCCGCGCTGGGGTGACTACGAGGACAAGCGGGACCTGAACTACATCCGCGGCCTGATCCGCACCGGGGGCTGGTTCGACGGCACGCAGCAGGAGTACCCGCCCGCGGACCCCAGCGAGCACATGTATGCGCCCAAGTACCTGCTGAAGAACTACGACCAGTTCCGCTACCTGCTGGACAACCCCTACCAGGAGCCCAGGAGCACGGCGGCGGGAGGGCGGCGCCACAGGGGTCCCGAGGGAAGGCTGCCCGCCCGGGGCAAACTGGATGAGGCTGAAGGCTAGGGCTGCATGATCTGATAGGGCTCGTGGCAGGGCGGGGGTGGCGACGGCCCCTAGCGCTATCTCCCTGCCTCCTGCCAGCTCCGTGGTTCTTGAGAGGACCAGGAGTGGGTGGGGAGTGGGAGTGGGGGTAGGGTTTCCCTACTTCACCCTTGTGAATCAAGGGTCAGGTCTTTGAGCTCAGAAAACATGCCTCCTGTTGGGAGAGGGCGCAGGCCGTGATGGCTGGGTGGCCCTTCTGACTGCCAAGACTGCTGTGGCTGTGGCCAGGAGGTGCCACTGGAGTGTGTGTGGTGGTCCCTGGGTAGCGGGGGACGGCAGGCAGGGCTGGGGAAGACAGCCTGCAGGGTCCCACCAGGCAGCCTCTGGGGCGTGGCCAGACCAGGAAAAAAGCCCACCATTTGGCATCCCTGGGTCTTGGGCTAGGTGTGGGAGACCAGCCTGCCAGGAGGACCCAGGGCTCTGTAAGTAGATGCATTTGGGTCCACGGGGAAGCATGGACGCCTGGGAGGGAAGAGATGAAAAACCACATCCTACCAAGAGGAGGTGCTGAGGGATGCTTTGCAGTGTTGTCAAGTGCTGGGCCAGAGGGAGACAGAACTCCACCGCCTGCCACAAAGGACAGGACCTGGCTGCCCTGAGTCTGTCTCTCTGCTCCCCTCAGGTTGTCGTAAGCCAACACAGGGGCCTGGAGAATCCTGAGGAGCTTTCCTTTGGGTTCCAAACCGGGCCTTGACGTTCCTTCTCCCGTTTTTACATTGCTGTCTTGTGGACTGTGCACTCAGTCCTTGCAAGGCCAGGAGTCCAGTTGTAAGTGGGGCCTTGAGGGGGAATTGGGAAGGAGAAGACCGACATGAGGCCTCTGCACGGATCCGTCTCTCCCTCCCCATCACCCCTTCCTTCTGACACCCAGTCCCACCTGCAGTCACTATTGTGCCCCTCCTTGGGGCAGGCTGGCTGGGGGCCAGGAAGGGGCCATGAGGCTGCCTTGGGCCCAAGAAGGGACAATAAGGCCAGTTGTATGCTTCCTATTTCTCATAGCTTGCCTTGGCCGAGATGTCTTTGTTGGAATTGAGTCTAAGCTGCTGTGATTAAGAGACCCTGAAATACAGTGGTTTAAGCAAGACAGAAGCTTGTTTCTAATTAGTCTAGATTGAGATGGCCCAGAGCTGGTAGGGCAGCTCTGTGTTTCTTCATACGCACCTTCCAATTTTGGGTACACAGTGGCTGCTCCAGCGCCAACCCTCCTGTGAGCATCCAAGCCTGAGGGAAGCAGAAATAGGCAAGAGGGGCACACCCACTTTTTGCTAAGGGCATGAGCCAGAATTGGCAGGCTCACCTCTGCTGGCCTCTCATTGGCTGGGTCTCAGCCACATGGCCACAAGCAGCTGCAAGGGAACCTGGGAAGTGTAGTCTTCAGTGCGGCCGCCATGTGTCTGGCCTCACCTTGGGAGTTCTCTTATTGATAGAGAAGAAGAGAATGGATATGGGGGACCAGTAGCATCTCTGGGAGAGGGGGAGGGGGCAGCAATAATTCAGTCGTCAGATCCAGCTCTCATTGTCAGAGTTTCCGGAATAGCTTGTTCCTGTTCCCCTCACTGTGCAGCCCAGGGCGGGGGGCAGTGAGGAGCCTGCAGCTCTGTGGGAAGGGGAAACGCCCCCTCCCCTCGGCCCCTCAAAGGCTACCCAATGATGCTGGTTTGCAGAGCTGGCCTGTGGAATGGCTCATGTTTGTGCGTGTGTGTGTGTATATTTATGGGCATGGGTGCATGCTTGGTGTGTATTTGTACATGTCTGTATTGCTGTGTCCCTGTAAATACATGCTTGTGTGTGGATGGGGGAGGCCAGGCCCAGGTGTCCTTCGTCAGGCCTGTGGCCACACCTCCTGCAGCTCCCCAAAATGACTGAGGCGGAAAGCCCTTGGGGAGCCTAGAAAGCAAAGCTAAAGGGGATGCAGGGTCTGTCCGTCTGTCTTTCAGTCTGAGGAATGAGAATCCTCCTGACCTGAGGGCTGTGCAGCTGAGAGCCCACTACCTCCCCAGCCCCTCTCAGCCCCAGCCACATGATCCCACCCGTCCCCTCCCCCACCTCCAGTGGGGCCATCTCCGGTTGTCTTATTGTTGGGGGTTTCCTGATGGGCCAGAAGAGGAGGGCATCTCCTTGCCACAGCTCTGTCTGGGTTAAGTGCCCAGTGAGGGCATGGTGTGGGGGGCTGGCCTCAGAGCAGCCACTGGTGGGCAAGCGTGAAGTGGGCTGAGGGGCTCTGAGCCACTTCACTCCCATCTAGGGGACTGCCCCCATGGAACTCCTTTGAAGTCACAGCAGCCTTCCTTTCTGTTTCCTCTTGGGGCCGAGAGGTGGCTCAAGAAGTCAGGGTCCCTGTGCTCTGGGTCAATCCAGGCCAGGCTGCATCCCACAGACAGGGAGTCTCACGGCTCCTGATCATGCCCAGGCTCTAGCCTGGGGCCTCCCTCCTTGGCAGCTTCCTCACCCCACGCCCCTGGCACCCTCAGTTGCTGTGGGGATGCCCCTCCAGGGCACCAGCTCAGGGCTAAGGGAAGGAAGACAGGAGCAGCTCAGAGCTGCCAGGCCCTGCCTTCCTCACAGACCTGGTGGGGCAAGGCCTGTTCACAGCAGCAGGAGTGAAGGCCTGGCCATCGGTGGAGAGGACAGCTGTTAGAGGGGTGGAGGCCAGGGCGCGGGGTTGAAGAGTTTCACATATCATCACAGCATACACTGGGAATCTGGTGGAGGTAGAGGAACCCAGGGCCACTCCCTCAGTACAAAGGGAAACCAAGCTGAATGTGACCACTGCTGCCATGTCCCATGTCCATGCTTCTCCCCGGGAATAACTGGCCCTGAGACCCCTAGACCCAAGGAGGCCTGTCCATGCCAAGCATCCAGGAAGCATGGCCAGCCCTGTCCACCCATGGGTCACGTTGGTTCCCAGGGGCAGCATGGGAGAGCTTTGGGGGCAAGAGGGAGAGTCCGGGTGGGGAGACAGGACTTGCCCAAGCAGAAGGCAGGACCCTGGGAAATGTATAATTTAAGGACATCAATAATAGTATTATTTTTTTTTTGTAAGGGAAAATCAATATGTACATTCTGAAATCATTTTCTCTGTAAATGGTTGGATTTCATTTCACCCTTAAAGGGATGCTTAAAGGAGAAGATAATATTAATAATAAAAACAGCTACAAAGTCTGAATTGTGTGCGTATGTGGCTGGTTTGTGGGTGCTCTGGGGCAGGGAGGGGTGGGAGGAGGTGTCTCTGGTCTTGCTAAAGACACCCTTGCTTCTGGATCCATGGCGTGCAAGACCTTCCTGAGGACTGGATGGCCAGTGGGGTGAGGGGGCTGCAGGGAGCACCTTCACTTAGGGACGAAGTGTCCCCCAGCCGCAGGTGGAAGCAGCTGGGAAGTGGAAGATGCTGGGCCGAGGTCTGACAAAAGGAAGCAGAAGTGGGCCAGGCTCCTAGGACTGGGTGCGCCCACCCTCCTGCAGTGGGCAGGGACCCCTTTGGGGATCTGGATGAAGGCTTTGGTGCCTCTGCAGCGAGGGAGTGGTTCTCCAGTTCTGCTCTGGAGCATCAAAATAAGTGCTCCTGCCTCAGCAGTTTTTCCTGTTGAGTTCTAAATGCCTCATCCAAGGTCACAGCCGTGTCGATTCTGGGTCTGGACTCTCAGCACCAGGTCCTCTGGACTCCCAGGAGCAGGTATCTCTGTCCCATGGAGCCGACCTTGGACTTGTGCTTGGACAGCGCCTGGAGCCTTGGGATGTGGGCACTTCCAAGGAGCTTCCTCTGGGCCGGGTGGACACTGGAGTTGTCCTGGGAGTCCCCTGTGTGTGTCCTAAAGAGAATCTGAGGTGGTAGGAACAGACACTTTTTTTTTTTTTTTTTTTTTTTGAGACGGAGTCTCACTCTGTCGCCCAGGCTGGAGCTCAGTGGCACGATCTCCACTCACTGCAAGCTCCGCCTCCGGGGTTCATGCCATTCTCCTGCCTCAGCCTCC